AAATGTTAAACATGTCTTTTTCAATTGAATACACTAGCTCCCCCGCAGATCATTCAAAAAGAGCCGAGTGCGGTGAAAGTAAATCTGTGCGACGTGTACAAAAGACATCGAAAGTTCTCGAAGAGTTAGGCAAAGGAGAGGTCGAACTATGTGAAGCTAGAAGCATCCCCCGTGTGTTCCTCACTTGAAAGAGTTGAAAATGAAATGTACCAGGCCGATTTTCCCAGACAGGATAGCATTCAGATTTCATTCAGAAGTCTCACGATAAAACGTTTTTGTATGCCTCGGTGTTAAACGAACAGAGATTTGATCCCCGCACCACCTCTCCCTAACGTCCAGCTGTACCGGTCACTTCCCATGCTAAGTCAGCAGAGTGTAAGACAAACTGACCAGAATCTTCGCTACCAATCTTGATTCCTTCAGCCAGCTCGGCGGCACGCTTTCCAATTGATGATACGTCGAAGAACCACTGCGCACTACTTCGGATAATAACGGGCTGAAATTCAGAGGAATTGAAGAGCCTTGTGGGAAACCTTTAGAGCTCTTCGAGAACTTTCGATGTCTTTTGTTACACGTCGCACAGATTTACTTTCACCGCACTCGGCTACTTTTGAATGAATCTGCGGGGGAGCTAGTGTATTCAATTGAAAAAGAACATGTTTAACATTTACCTTTTTTTGCCTGAATTTTCTTTTGAACGATGGTGGTTAAAGAAAGCGATTACGACAAGGAATTCTCTCATCGGGTGAGAACATGCGCCACAGGGAGCAAAAAGGTGCTGCGATTGCTGAAGGACCTCCGCAGCACTCCGCCTCCAGCAGCGTTACGCCCACTTGTTCAGATGATGACTTGGGCGAGCTGTCTGCTGTTGGCTTCTCATTTTGAAAGATCGTTTCCCTTTTATCGACTGTATCTTCCAACTTGCCCATGTGATGCTTTATCAATCAAAACACTATGCTTGTTGGCATGATGGCGGCTATCGGGGTTAACACGTCCGAACAACGTCTTTCTTTACCGTCGCTCATCCATGGTCGAAAATGAAAGGGCAATCAAAGGTATACTATTTTGCTTATTTTCAAGGGATTTCTTTGCTTTTTCCCCCATTGGCGTACTATTGAGCCCCTCACGTCCCCTCTAAATCCCTTTGACCCCCCATCGTAATCGCTGCCTTTGGCGGAAATTCTCGAGCATGAATGCTCCACAACATCCTGAGATGCTGAATCTAGTTCACACGGTTACGGCAGGTTTTCGTGAATAAAACCCATCAACATCACACCGCGCACTGACTCGGCAATAAAAAATTACGATAATATAACCAGGCTAGACGACAGCCGGGCTTATCACGAAAAAGCAACAACAAAAAAGCGCATAACTAGACTGAAGATGTGTGACTTTTCCGCTGAACAGCTCCGTTCACTTTCAACTGACTCTACTTATTCAGCCAACGCGGCAGCTTGAAGGGAACATCATCCTGAGACAGGAAAAACCTCTGACCGTAGGGTCAAGTTTGCCAGCGCAAGCGGCGGCATTATTCGATCGTCGAATCTCCGTACGAGAATTAGCGAGGCCTGATACAATAGACTGAAATCCATCTCTTGTTCTGAAGTCCCGAAGAGCTGCCGTTTCAGCAAATTTTAGTTGCACTCAAGAACAACATTTATCATATGTTACAACATCCTAACATTAGGTTGTCGCACAAGTTCCTCGTCACATCGAAAAGAAAAATTTCAAGTAAGTTTTTCATATCAAATGGAACTGGTAATGAACGAGCTGAACCACCAGTTGGCGCCGCACGCATTGCACGCACAGCAGTACTGCGACGATATAGGATGGTGCGGCGTTTTTCGAATTTCGCCCAATACACTTCGAATATATGACTTTCAAGCTGAATATCCGACTGCCCCATGCTTCACCAACCGATGGCCTTTGCCCTTTACTCCTTCCTCACCAATTATTCGTAATCGTCAACCAATTGTCCATTTTTCCCGGTCTCCGACTGCCTCCGAGCCGATTTATGAACCTCGTGGTAACCCCGCCTATTTCCCACCTATCTTTTTCTTCCTCGCCAACCTCTTCCCACTTTTTACCCAATCTCTGAACTATACTGACGACCAGCCGATTATAATTTTGGGCAGCGAATCCTGCTCTTTTGCTGTATCCTCCGCACACCATTAGAAATTAACTTCCTTTCCTTCGCCCACTTCTCTCCCAATCTTCAGGACTTCTTGCAGCCGAGTCACAACGTTTTGTGGAGAACTCGCCCACCTTGGAAATGCCCCGCTCTCACCAACAGCAGTTGGGCTCCCCTCCTTCACCCACCTCTATCCACCTTTTTCCCGGTCTCCAGGACCTGTTGGAACCGAGTTATGAATTTCCGTCGCCAATTCCACCCACTTTAGTGTAAGCTCTACCCACCAATAGCAGCTGTCCTCCCGTGCGTTGTCACACTCGACCCACCCTTCCCCAGTATCCTGGGCTTCCCGGGTCAAATTGTAAGTTCAGGGCAACTGCTCTTGGTGGGTAGGGTGCAGATTCTACCCACCAAAAGCAGTTGATCTCCCTTACGCTGACCAACTCAATACTCTTGTTTCCCGGTCTCCAGGACTTCTTGGGTCCGAGTTATGAATTTTCGTAGATAACTCGGCCCAGTGTGGACATGCCCCGCCCACCTATAACAGTTGGGCTCCACTCCTTCACCCACCTCTATCTACCTTTTTCCAGTCTCCGTGACTTCTTGGAAACAAGTTATGAATTTTCGTGGTAACTCCGCCCACCTTGCTTATGCCCCGCCCACCGACATTTTACCTCCACTCCTCCGCCCACCTCTGTACTTCTTTTTCCGTCACTAAGACTTCTCCGGCCCGAATTATGAGGACTTGTAGAAAAGGTTGTTCATGTCAAAACGCGCTCCGCCCATTGTGGGCGGACCTCCGCCCACATCACGTAAACTGGGAACACATTAGACATTGCTCCCCTACACCAATTTGTTTTGTGCTTTCTATGCTTCCTCCCAACCAAGTTATGAAATTTTTCATAAAGCACTGCTTTTCTGGAGGACGCCCCGCCCACCGGGGGTGGGTCTCCCTAATTTGATGTGACTTACCAATGTACACCTTTACCCACTCTTTGGCCCAGTTTCGAGGTTGTTTTGTGGGTGAAATTGAAATCTTGGTCATCAGTACAGTTCACTCGATGCACCCCACGTCCACACGTCCACTGCAAGAGGAGCTCCGTTTAGCTGATGTGTGTTTTATACTTGGCGAGAATTTACCCGCCCATCCCACGATTGACCCGGTTCCTTCAGGCCGACCCCGAGGAGCTAGGGAATTTCGTGACATTCGCTACATACAGAACGACAGACAGAACGACAGACGAAGCGCTTTATAGTAACTAGGATTATTATCGCAACATATTTACATGACGAAGGAGACTCTTGGATGCCGCTTCTGTAGAAATGCTGAATTTTTGGAGCGAAAAACTAGCAAAAGCCATTTTGAAGTTAGTCATGGTCGTCTAACTGCTTATTTCATAGATGATGCAACAGCGACAGGAACAGGCGGCGATCCGCGAGTGCAAGATCTGCTGAATACGGTGCGTAGGCCAGAACGTGACAGCCCAGGCTTTGCAGCTTTTGCTGAGTCCCCTTCGCAACGCGTGGACGAGCGTTGTCGTGAAGGAAGTATTCTTCCCCCACTTAACGCAGCAGCTACAAGATGCAACTGAGCAGTAGACTTTGTCGGTATTAATAGTTTGCTGATAGTAACTTTCAGCGAAAATTTCCTCTGCAGTCCCACGAAACGCTGAGTATGCCTTCCGAGGATGGAGCTCAGATTATGGCTAGAAAGCTTCACCTCGTTCAAGTCACTGGCGCTTCCGTGTATAATTTACATAGACAACTCATTTCTCAACACCGGTACCTCCCTCAGAAATCGCGTCGACCGAATGTTTTTCGGCCAGGAAGTTTCTGCAGGCATCACCCCTTATCTGAACTTGGGCCAGCTTAAATCACGAGGTATTCACATCCATATTTCCATGCCTTTCTGAAGCGATGAAGAAGAGTAGCTACTGTGTTGTGATGACAGTGGAGTTCCACTGCCATGTCATTTGTTCCAATCCGGGGATCGCCTTCAGCCAAACACAGGAATCGCTCTTCATCTATCTCAATCAGCCGACAGACTAAGATTTGGTCAAATTCCCCATTCTGGATCTTGCGGAACCAAACTTCTGCCGTGTCGTGGGAGGCAGTCGAGGGACCCATCAAATCACATATCGCAAATGGAATCATTGCTATGATTCACACTGAAATTCATCTTAGAGAATGGGTTTTCAGACGATTAACTCATTCTACATTTCTTACAAATTGCCGACAGACATCAAAGAGGTAGAAGCGAAATAATTTGTCTACCATCTGCGCATCTATCCACTTCTAATTACATGTCTATCTATAAGTCTGCATTGAATATCGCGCAGAGCTTTGTGAAGTGTAACGTGGGGTAACGAACCTTCTTTGTCCGCCAATCGTAGGGATAAGAATGCTTGTATTTTTCCTGATGAACGACATCTTTTCGTAGTATCCTTAAAACGTCTAATTAGCAGGAAATCACCAATAAATAAAGGAAGAGAAACTCAGAATAGGATGTTTAACAAATAAAAAGATCAAAACAGAACCAGAAACGACACGTTATAATGTACTGAATGAGTGAGTAGAGATAGACAAGGAAAGTAAAAGGATGAAGGCCAGAGCGTCGGCACTAATCAGTAAGTTGTGATGCGCCACGCATTCCGCTTCCATTCAAAATCATGCTAGCTTTTTGATTCCGATTTGGCATATAACTAGCAAGCGCCCAGTCGATATACAAGCCAGTGTTTTTTCCTCCCTCCCAAGTCTTACACATCCATCGCCCAAGATGCCAGGCTTGGTTGGGCTAGACGGCGCACCACCATGGGCATATTCTCCAACTGAGTATCACCAATAAGTGGTTAAAATCGTAGGGTACTTTTTCTGAAGTCTTCTTCTTCTCCCTAGCGTTAGTCCCGCGCAGTCGCAGGGTCCGCTGTCTTTGTCAGCCGTCGCCTTGTTGTTCTATCCAGGGCATCTTCTGCTGTGACCCTCACTTCAGAGGTCCTTTTGATGAAGTCTCTCCACCCTATTGTTGAAGCTCCTCACCGCCGCTTGCCTTGTGCTTCGAAGTCCATTGCTGTTCTTATCGGATGACCCTGTGGCCTCAACACGTGCCCATAACCATCGCAGTCGTTGTTCCCGTACCTTCAGCTGGACAGGAACACTCTCCATGACCTCTGACATCCTCGTTCCTGACCCTGTCCAGTCGCGTCCAGCCGCAGGCCCACCTCAGCATCTTCATTTCAGCGGAGTGAAGTTGCCTTTCGTGAATCTAGTTCAAGGGCCAGCTTTCGCTGCCGTATAGCATCGGAGGCCTTACCAGTGTCCGATACACCTTCCTTTTAGGCGTTCTGAAACAGCTTCGATCGCAGAGGATCCCTGTGGATTCTCTCCACTTCATCCAGGCCGCGTTGATTCGTCCCTTCGCTGCCTGATCCACACGTCCGTCGGCAGCTAGATCGCTCCCAAGGTATCAGAAGTCTTCACCCTTTCGATGCACTCCCCTCTCGCGTCCACAATCGGCTTTGCACTCTCTTCAAAGCTCAAAAACTTGGTCTTCTTGACATTCAGCCGGAGCGCGTCTTCTTCGAAGAACTTCTGCCTTTCTGCACCCTGGCCTGTAGTTTTTCTCTGCTATCCGCTATGAGCCTATGTCGTCAACGTAGAGATGGTCTTTAGTGGGCATTCTATGAGGTCCTTCACCATGGCATCTAGCGTTACGAGGGAGTGGAAGGGGCTTAGAGCTGATCCCTGGTGCACCCCAACCGTGGCGTCTACCCCCTTTGTCAGGCAGTGCGGGGTGCGTATAGTTGCTTTAGCCCTAGTGTCTTTGCCGCCGTCGTGCATATCCCTCACCATAGAGGTGAGGTGTTTCTGCACGTTCACGTCGGTCCTGAGCCACCTCCATAGCAATAGCCGTTGCGGATCTTCCGACATGAACCGTACTCTCCTGGAAGATCGGGATCAGCTTCGAGTCGACTAGCCTTTCGTGATACTTTCATGGTATCGGCGCAGACAACTTGACATCGCGGCAGTTGGAGCAGTCCATTGCGTCAACCCTCTCGCTTGCAGATTGGGATGATAGTGCTTGTTCTCACTGGCATCCAGCATCCTTCCTTCCGCAGTTACCGTGTTAAGAATCGGTAAGCCATCTAATTCTGCACCAGGGTCAAGCGAGGCGTTGAGGAAAAATTCGGAAATACGACCCCCCTCCCTCTGCCGAAGGCCGAAGTCCATGAAACAGCCCTCTTTAAAAGCCGATCTACGAAAAAGTTGTTTTCATTCTCCACCAAAACTGCTATACAAAAACTTGCTACCCCATCGTGGACAAAGAAAACTCCGTTTAAGTATAAAAGTGAAAAAGTCAAAGAATGGTCATTGATGACGAGTCCTGTCAACGAGCAATCGAGAAACGGAGCAAAAAACGTAAACTAGTCACTAGATGACAACAGCTCTTCTTCGTTTATTTTCTGCCACAAGACTTACCAATTCTAGTACTACACAGATTATGGTTCTCAATTTACACGTCCCCTTCCGCTCAAAAGAAGCCTTGAGAAAGCTTTCGCCAGCTGTGGTTGACTGGACTTTGGCGTTGACCTGGGAGCAGCTTATTTACTATTGAAATTTGAACAAATATTCAAATGATTATAACTTTCTTCAAACTTAACGAATTTTCCAATCTAGAAGCTGATTAGGGAGTTTTGTGAAGAGCTTTTTCTAATCACTACTGAAATCACAGGAATTATAAGAAATAACAAATTTAGATCAAATAACGAGGAAAATTCGAGACGAGCACGAGTTTTTAACACCTTCCCGAAGCAATAACTTGCTTCATTTCCGTCAAATTCAAAAAGTTGATACGTCATACAAAACTAGAAGATTTTCTCTATCAAACGGTCGCTAAAAGCAGCTTCATACGTCCAGTACTCAAAAAATGCCACTTTGAGGATTTTTGCAGAATTAACGAGGAAAATTCGTGATGAGTGCGAGTTTTACGCTTCCAAAAGCCATAACTCCGTTCAAACTCATGCAATCTGGTAAGTTAATACGTCATCATAAAATAGAAGATGTGCTTTTCTGAGGCAACTAAAACTGCTAAATACGTTCACTATTTAAAAATGCCACGTTGAGGATTTTCGCCCGATGTACTGGCCGAAAGTACTTATTCGCTACATTAGCACTATCTCAACGACTATAGCTCCTTGCAGGAGCGATTACATACTGAAGTAGGAGCAGATTCGAAACCCTCTGTGCTTTTCTCTCTGCAAAAGTGTAAAACTGTTCAGCGGGTCTCACTTTAAAGGTTACATGCTTGTGAGTTTCACGCTGGAACTGCGTTTCTTGTTGAATAGTGTACTCCTCTCTGTTTTTTTAAACTGAAACTCTTCCAGAACCCCTTGATTCTCCTGAATTAAGATTCGTTATCAAGATAGCCGTAGCTGAAGCGCGCGCAACCAACTGGGCCCACTCTGGGATGCGCCGTGTGCTTCCCCTCTTGTTGGTTTGAGGACCTACTTGAAAGATAAAATATGCCTAGAAAACGTGCGAATTTCGGATCCTTTGACTTGTGTGGTGATGAAACACTGAAGTCACAAAGAATTGCTAAGCGGACACCTGTAAATCACGAAAATTTTGTGTGGACGGAATCAATTGTCATTGGGAATACTCTGGCCTGGTATCGATTCGATCCTTAATGTTTGTCCTCCGACGATGATCCTACTGTATCAATCGGGCCCGATCTCTCCCTAGCGGGTCAATACGACCCCCCCCCTCTGTGACATGTCGAGGATTCCTCAACGCACGCTTGACCCTGTTCTGCACTCTTCAAGCGCCTCCCATGCCTCGATTGGCACCCCATCTGGACCTACCGCCTTCCCAACCTTCATCTTTCCTACTTCGCTACGGACCTCATCCTCTCTCCACAGCGAGATGGGGCCAGCCATTGCACTGCTTGCGAGTTACTTTTGGCCCTCCAGCTTCTCGTACAAGACGTTCATCTCTGCGTTCTTAGCCTTGGCGACGATAGTCTTAGCAAGCCACTTGCAACTCTTGTAGGCAGCGAGGTCCTCAGGGCTCCGTGTCTTCTGCGAGCGCTTGTATGCCTCCTTCTTATTCTTCACGACTCGCTGGACCTTGTTCCAAAACCATGCTGCCCTCTCCCCTCATTCAGCCTCGCGTTTCGCCCAGTACCTCTTTGGCGCATGTGCCTTAGCGGCATTGCTCCATGTCAGCTGAACTGGTCCGCGTGATCTGGAAGGTCAGCTTCCAGTACCCTTCGTTTGTGGTCTTCCTTCTCCGCTCGGTGCAGCTTCCACCACCGAATTCTCCGCTCAGTTCCTACCCCAGTCTTCTTTTGGAGGCTTCCTTTTCGCAAAGAACGTGCTGCAGATTGCCAGATCGTGGGCCGTAGCCAGGTCCAGGACCCTCTCTCCCTTAGTGCCCACGTGACCATTCAGGTCACCTGCTGTGGTGAGATAATCACCTTTCGGAAGTGATTTTATGCCCTTGCGAGCTTAGACAGAACTCGTCCTTCTCATTCTCGGGGCATCCGACTTGCGGTGCGTACACGGAGAGTATGGACCACTACTTCTCCTTCGTGTCTATCCTCACATCCATGATCCGATCGCTGATCCTGCTCACAGCGGAGACATAGACCTTGAGCGACTCCGCTACCGCTATGGCCACGCCGTTCCGCTTGGTGTCTTCTCCATTGTAATTGACACCACCCCCGAGTTCCCTAGCCCTAGCACCTTTCCGTGTCATTCCCTGAAGGTATAGGACTTGGATATTCCCGCACGTCATCAGATCAGCAACCTTCCGGGACTTTCTAGCTAACAATCCCCGTTCAGAGCCCTAATTCTAAGTAGCTTCTTTGGCCGAGGCCAACCACTCCTTAGTAGCCCTCGCGTACTGACCACAGAACTCGGGAGGGGGTTGTGCGCCTTGAGTGGCCTATTCCAGGTGACGTCCTAGCATTAACATTGATTGTCAGAGAGGTATATGCTGGCCCCAGGAGATTAGCTGTAGATCAGCTGGTTTGAACCAAGTAGATCGTAGAGAGGCGGCAGTTGTTGATCGCAGGAGTGATGAGAGACCACGTTGCCGGAGGGGAACCAATCGCGCAAAAATGGCCCAATAAAAGGGGTCCGGACGCTGGTTCGGGGTTCCAGTGGTTCCAGTTCCCGAGTTCCGGTGCTCCTGTGTTCCAGCGCTCCAGCTCCAGAGTTCCTGTCTTCTGGCATCTGTGTGGTGCCTGAGCGGTATTGTTGGTTGGGCGCCGGAAGGCCCGAAAGAGGGCCTAGGCTCAGTCAAATGGCCTTAGCGGCTGAAGTGTGAGTGTTTAGTGCTCGTCGGTGGGGCCTCGTAGCCGGTTGTTTCGGCCTCAGTGGCCAATTGGGAAGAGCCTAGTGACTCGGGAAGAAAACCCTTGTGGCTCAACGTAAAAGAGGGATTGCACCGTGCACCTGGTTGCCTACCTCGGCTCAGTGGGTCCCGATCCCTTCAATCAAATTCGCCGGTCGTCCTCAAGTGATCTTTGCTGGTCATATATTTACTGTTGATTTTTTTTGATCTAATAAACCTTAGTGTCTACTGGTCTCAAGCACAGTTAATAGGGGTTACTCCCAGTCGCAGTACACGAATCTGTCGATACACTACATGATACTTTTGCGACTTTTAGACATGATTGATGTGACTGGGGTGCTCGTCAGCCGGTCTGTCAACCTGGGCCTGACGCTGGTAACAGAACAATTTTTGCAATTTTGCAAGGAATGGCTAGCCTCAGCAGGGATCGAACTCGCGGTTTTCAGAGGTCAGACTTGAGTGTAACCCCTTAATCATTCGGCTATCCCTGCCACAGGGTACTTTTTCTGAAGTAGCAGCTAGGAATCAGAGACATTCGGATAATTTACTTGCGAAGCTTGCATCAGTGTAATTGGGATTTAGTAATAACCAGAGAACAATAAAGATAACAAAGGACTAGAAAAAGAAGAGGTAGGCAAATATTTCACATGTCTTGGATACAACACACTCACTGCAGCTTGTAATTGCGTAACTTCGACACTCGGACGACACGAACCTGATAACTTCGCGTTGTCCTTCACCGAGTACGTCCTTTCCCTCAAGATCGGCCCCGAGATGTCTAGTGTACCGGCCACTTTCGTCCACAAAACTCTCCACCTTGTAGTTTCCATCTATAGCTATCTGAAAAGGCAGCAGATGACGTTGACTCTAAAGCAATCACTCGAACGATTTTACCCTCAAAAACAGGAACCCGTAACTATAGGAATCCAGAGGCTTTAAAGAGTTATAAAGTTATCGATGGAATCGAAAATTTTGAACGAAAAAGGTCTAGTACAGGACTTAATTCGTTTCCTGCACCTGCGAGATTACCATACCAGGCAAGATCATGTAAACCCCAGAAAGAAATGAACCTGGTAATCGGTGAATCCATGAGCAAAAGAGGTGTGTACAAGACCAGTTCCCATTGCCATTGTGACATGATCGCCAGCCAAAATTGGTAAAGCCAGCTCATTATGCCTATAATCTACGCACAAAATAGACAGACTATTAAGAAATATAAACACGCACTCGAAAATACCACACGTCTACAAATCCTTGTAAAAAACGAGGAGAATTTCTAACGGTGAAGTTCTTCCAAAAAGAATACAAAAACTCACCAGCAGCTCCGGTAGTGTTTTCCGACTAGTACTTCCCCTTTGGCACGACCTAGAACCGTGAACGGCCTTCCTATGCTGCTTAGCAGTGATGGAATTAAAGCTTCAGCAACGAGGTACACTTCAGAGATGGGGGCTCTAAATCGCACGCATGAGATATTGTGAAACACGAACAAAAGTTGCTGAAATATAAAACTTTGTTTCATCCTTAAAGGGCGACTGCTCTTCATATAGGCCCATCAACCGAGTGCTGTGGACCTCAGACGCGCTGCAGCGTTGCGGCCAATTATGAATGGATGAACGGATTTGTCAAAGTAAATGGCTGAGGTTCAACGTACTTAACAGTGTCGTCGAAGCGTATGGCCGCATAAACCGACTCTGGGGATATGCATATGGCATTATTGACAGGGATCGTCCAAGGAGTCGATGTCCATATCTAAGAAACAAAATAATAAAGATCTAACCCTATTCAAATAAGATAAAGTAACCTGGACAAAGCGGAACAAAACGAACAAAAATATTTGGAACACCTTCATAAACACTCACGAGAGAATATAAAATAACTGGTTTTGAGCCGAACACTGCTGAAATTCCTAGATCCTCCAGCTTAACATCAATCATCTTAAAAGCAACGGTTAGCAATGACCACCATTATTCAGGAGCCTCAAAACAGACCTTGAATCGGAAATAAACAGCTGTACTCGAGTGCTTGTCATTATATTCTAATTCCGACTCCGCCAACGCTGTATGAGAACTTGGAGACCTTTAAACAAAATAAGTAATTCTTTTCAGACATTCGAAAAGAAAAACGGTAACTCGAACCAATAGACGGGTTTAAATGCTCGGTAGATGATCCCTTTTTTGACCATCTTTGCAAACAACCGCAACTGCTCGGAGACGTACGTTGAGTTCATGGTGAGGTACGGTTCCGACCACGCAGCCGTCACACCCCATCGTCTTAAAACCAGGATTGGTCGAGAATACTTGTGTGAAGTTTAATAGAAGAAAGCAAGCAAATACACAGTGGAGCTCCAGCTGAGATACAGAGACCTACATATGTTTGATGAACGGCGCTCCAGGGATGAATTAGCACTAGGATTTTTTTCTAATCTGCGACAGCATGCGACTTCCACACAGAACAGAGTGGTGGTTGAATGCGATTCGGCCAATACACTGCTATGAAGTAGTCGCCGATGTACAAGCCAGTATCATTACCACACAGGCGGGGATGTTTCCGATCAACTATCGCTAGGGATCGAAGGAGTGCATGGCATGGACGAACCTTGGCACGAGATTGTTCCTCAGCTTTGCTTGGGATAAGTTGCGCCTATTGCTACTACATGAGCGCAACTTTCAGGACCAAAGCAAGTTCAATCAATAAAACCTACTTGAAGGAATTCAACTGTTTTGCAATAGCTTCAGTGGCCACTTGTCGCGCAAGAGCTCTGATCTCCAACGGTGACTTTCCCTGAACGGCATTTTTTGAAGGAACACTGGAAGCCTCATGAACTGAACAGATACCTGAACACTTTTGTTGATTTTCAGCTCAATAGGAAGACCATGACAATCCCAGCCTGGACGAAATCGGACCCTGACAGAAAAGGGAAATGAAATGCGTGAAAACCACCTATTGGGACAAAATTGATTGTCGACCAGCGTCGCTGTGAAGACTACCTGTATCCAAGTGCTATTCTGCTCTTCACTATGAAGTCTTTTAGGATTTTGTTGATGGCATGTCCAGTGTGGACCACGCCATTTGCATACGGTGGACCATCCAGCAACTCAAAACTAAAAATGATCTCTGTATGAACATCACAACTCTATTGAGATAGGTCAGTCACTTAACCCCAAACTTGAGAATCGTGACTGACCAGAGTATCACATTATTACACATTACTATAATAGTTTGGCTGCGCACGCCTTCACATACATCACAATGGACAGCAATTGTGAAAACCGAGCCATCGGCATTTTTGTAATGCTTCCTGGCAAACTTCACCCACTTCGGTGCACGCTCCACCGGCCAACAGCACCTGACCTCCCTTCCGTTGTCAGACTCTATCCGCTTTTTTTCCAAACTCCAGGATTATAATGTCTCGGGGAATAACTCCAACCATATTGGTGTGCGCCCCACCCACCTACAGCAGCTGACCTCCATTCCGTAATCGGACTCTGTCCACTTTTTCCCCATGCTCGAAGCCTCTTGGAACTAAATTATAAGTTCGGTGGGAAACTCAGCCCATGCTGACGCACGACACGCCCACCGCCAACCTTTAATTTTCACCCTTCCAATCTCTATCCACTTTTTCCGGTTCCTAGGGCATCGCCCACTGTGGGCGGTTTCCGCCGGTTCAAGTATGTTGCATGTTGCAGACACCTCAGATCTTGCTCTCCTAAACTGACCGAGTTGCGAATTTTTCTTTGGGCTTACCCCTTTAGAGACGCTCCGCTCTTCGCGGGCAGATCTACCTGGTTCGACACCATCTCAGAGCACACCTTTACCCACTTTATTTGCGGTGGCCAGGCTCTTCTATAAGCAAACTCGGAACTTGCCGTTGGCACCGCATGATTTGGCGCTTGTACCACTTACTGTGGGAGGAGCTGCGCCCGGCTCATATGTGTTTAGTAATTCTTGATCAATGAGCCACCCATCCCAAGCTTGACCAGGACTGTGTAGGTAATTCTTTGTATAGTACCGAATTGCTGACAGATGGACAAGCAGATAGACTTAGCGCATTTTATATAGTAGAGATCCTTGAATTTTTTATCTGATACTTTTTGGTGAGCAAGGAATGAGTGATGAGGGTAGGTACTGAAGGGGAAGAAAAAGTGCTCTGAATGGATGCTGTCAAGGCAAATTTTGCACACAGTGCTTCAAGGAACTCTAGAAGTGTTTCCATAGTAAAGCTTTAAAAAGCTAGGAAGAGTGCGATCCATGGCGACGACAGGATGCTGCAAATTTGTGAACTTCGCATTATTACAACGTGATGGGATATCTCACTGATTCCTAAGATCAAGCGTGAAACTGGGGACAATGACATAAAGGAACCAAACTGCAAACTCATGTTTCGTTGCAATCTTTGCGTTTACCCCCTGTGTGAATGCGAGCATACTGACAGACGAAAAAAATTTGAAAATGACTGAGCAAGGTCACTGAATAGAATCAGCATCCATTGAAAGTCAAAAAAGTCATAAAACTAAGCAAATAACATAAACCTACATTTCTCTGCGGTCGACTTGGGATCGCTGCCACTCATATAAAGTTGACAGACCGCCTGCACCAGCCAGTTTTTGATCAAGTAAACCGCGTTCAATCGACTTCACATGGTTCACGAAGGACGTTTTAGGCAAAAATATGGTTTTCTTCTTTCCAGAATTAGTACTAGTGGATGGCTCGCTTTTTGCTGAACTGGATTCAGCCGAATAAACTCTAAAAATAGAACGTTTTCAAAACCAAGGAAAAAGCTATGACTCTAATAATGTTATAGAAATTGAGAACAAAAACTTCTATAAAATTATTGGGTGAAATAGCTACGGAATCTCAAAAAAAAACAAGCCTTAGTACCTAGAAACGATCCTGCATCTGCTGCATAGCTGTTGCAATTTCTTCAATTGAAACGCCATCAAAACCTATAAGAAGGTTTTTATGATAACTGAACGACCTAAGTTGTCGGAAAAGTTCTTGCGCATTTTCATTTTCACCTTGCAAAATCTTTTCGAATTGTTTTGAAACATTCACTGTCATACGCATATGAGCGGTGGTTAATGCTCTCTTCACAGCATTTCTGTCGTAGCATTTCGCAGCTTTTGAAGCTTAAAAATCGCCTTTCACCGAAGGTGTGTCTAACTGGTCCTGCCTTTATAAGCCTCTAAAATGCGTTGATAGGAGCGAAGCAGTGGGAGTTCTACATGTCGTGATTATCCTCTGAACTATCTTTCACAATATGGTGATTATTTGGTTGCCGAGTTCGAGATACTTGCGAAAAAATCCACAAATCTGATCGGCCTGCCACCCTCATTGACGAGTGCATTCTGAATTCGATTGGAGAGTGCTTAGTGCAATGCATGGTAATTGGCGGAGCTCTTTCAGATCACAATGACCGTTCCTCAATATAGCCTACTAAAAGAAGTGAAATTATGGCGAAAGCATATTTTGAGATCTGACTGACTACACGCTATTGAGACCATTAAATTCTGCAAGAATATTTTGATTTCCCGCCCGTCTATCGCTTGATCCGCCAACTTTGTTGGTAGTGTCAAGAAGTGGGATCCTCAGATTTACCGCTCTCGAAAGCACGACTGGCTCGGATGCGTAGAACAAAAGATTGCAACGCCGATTCGAGTACTGCAACTTGGGAGGCAACATTGAAAGCTCATGAGGCTGCAAATGTTTCGCTCACGGAGAGCTGCTGCCAACGAAGTCCACTGCTATTGGTGAACGATAATGTTAGCAAATGGATTGGTTTCCCGGCATAGTGCCCGGAAAATCGGAGAAACTTTACGTCAGCAGCGCTCGCCCACGAATTACGAAGAAGATTCAGGAAAGGTCTCCAGGCTCGTTACAGAATGATCTGACCCACTTAAGGTGTACAACAAACCTGGTAGAGGCGGTCTACCATACGCTTCTGTTGCCGTCGAAGGTACTGAAATAGGGGCAGTTCGATGATCCGGACCTACTCGGAGTCAACCTCTTCGAGCTCTTCGCCCCAAAGACTCGGGATTTCTGAAGGGCCGGCAACCTGAATTGCCCGCTGAAGAGCAATGTTTCGACGATTATTGTGGTGTATGTATTCAGCAATTGTTGGCTGCACTAAAGAAGACAAACAATTTTGAAAAAAAGTTGCCAAATGCGCAAAGACTTTTCCGACAACCTAATATAATGATAGTTCACAGAGCTTGAGCAAGCCAGAACACAGAGAAAGGAAGGTGTCGCGGAGACGACGCATACAGGCTTCTTTGATACTTCATTTTAGAGCGCATGTATTTCTATTCCGCAAATACCTCTTGCTCTTTGCAATTGTCCAAGCTCACTTCGAAGTGCCTAATGTTTGAATATACCTATTGAGACAATTAGACGACGCCGTCGCCCTAGTGATGCCAAGTAGAGCACAAGACGTCTTATAAAAAGGTCAGAACCTTCCTGAAACGAACGGATCTGCTAGAAACACGACAGAATACCAACAAGACCAGTTCAGACCAAACATACTGACCACTTCGTCACTTCCGAGCAACAATTTCGTATCGTACTCAACTCGTTGTTGAGTTGAAAGTGATTCTGCTATCACTGACTCCGGAAATATCACTTCAATCACTTGCCCTATTTTCCCGAGACAACAAAACACCTGAAAAGCAGCAACTCGCTCTGGTCAGCTATGATGAATATGATATCAACTATTAGCGAATAGCGATAAGAAGTGTCAGAAGTTCTCCCTTGTTTCGCAACGCTCGAACTTGAACGATAATCATTACAAGCACTATTTGAGCGCTTCAGAATGGACTCGGGCGGCGCTGTAGCCATAATCAACATTTTTAAATTAGGATAACAGAAGAAGAGGAAATACTTGGACTGTAGACTTTTAAAGGCAGCCATAACGGAAGATTCTGGAAGGGTTTGGAGGGGACGTGGGGGTTCTCTATGGTACGCCAATGGCGAAAAAAGCAGTGAAATCCGTCAAAAATAGGCAAAGTAGTACTACCTTGGTTGCCCAGTTCATTTTCGACCATGAATGAGCGGCGACAAAGAAAGAAGTTGGTCGGACGTGTTAACCCGATAGCCGTCATCATGGCAGCAAGCATAGTGTTCTGATTGATAAGGCATTACATAGGCAAGTTGGAAAATATAGCCGGAAAAAGGGAGAGGATCTTCCGATTTGAAAATCTAACAAACAGCTAGCCCAAGTCACGTTCTGAACCAGCGGGCGTAACGCTTTGCGGAGTACTTCGGAAGTCCTGCTCAGCAACCAGAGCACCTTTCGTCGTGAAAGCGTCGTGAAAGTTCCTTGGCAGCCAAGAAACTGCTTCGCGTGGCGCACATACTCCCCCAATACAGCCCTTCTTTATCGTAATCGCTGTCCTTAAACTTATATTCTTTCTCTTGATTTACAACCAAAGTATTAAGGAGGTCTCTTTGGGTCAACTCAAACGGTTACTCGCTTGTAGGGCTAAGACATGAAACACTACCAGAATGCCAAGAAGGTCGGAATAGTTCTGGGTTCTACCCTGATGTTACACTAATTCGCCTTTTTCATATTTGCCTTACTTTTTTCACGGTTACCTATTTTTGGACTAAAACGCTGAACTTTTCGATATGCAAACTCTCCGCCTCCGCACTGCAAAACCTCCATAAAAATTAGAAAAATCGCATCGCCCGAAGAGAATTCTAAACCCCTTTTTGGCATTCCTACAAGCTTAATGAAAAAAAAACTCGATTCTGTAGATTCCATCTTAAAACCTAAAACATACCACATATGACTTATTCCAAATCCTCCTCGTTGTCTTTATCTAATACAGAGTTCTACGGTGGAAAAGATTTACTCGGCTAATGTTTCGGATAAATCGTCGTCTTCAGGAAGACGTTTGACGTTGGTTCCTAGTTCTAAGCTCATAAGTTATCAGACCTAACACCCAGTTATTTCTCAATAAATGCAAAAAAAAAGATCCAACAAAGAAAGCGATCTTTCTGATTTGTAGGATCTATACTCTATTTTCATTTCTTGAGTGACGTGATAATTTCGCCCTGATAAATTGAAAGTCAAGAAGTATGAGTCGACCGCTGGTTTTGGGTGCAACGATTTCTCCAAAACGTCGATCGAATGAACCTTTTCCACAATACACCCGTATGACATTATGGCGTAAACTCGCTTCTGTGTTGTGTTATTTGTTACTCTGCCTTTGTTATTTGCTTTGCTACTTACTTGCTATTGTTATGTTCTCTGCTTGCGATCCCAGTAATATGCGCGGAACCGCTTTAGGAAACACTTCACCTTCCAGTTGAATGTTTCCCCTTTCAATAACATCAAATCAATAACTCGTACATTTCATGGAAAAAGTAGTTAAACCAGTTAGTACACAGCAGAATGCAAAAGGACCGCGAAATACCTACCACTAAATCCACGTCTCCGTGTTGAGTGACAGAAAAGTGAATGTGGCGATTATTTAAATCGAACGACAAATCCCGATAGACAGGACCATTCATCAATACAACTCAAAAACAGCTATATGAGCGCATCACGATTTTCAGAATGATAAAGAAGATAAGTGCAGACTCATAGAACTACTCCAAACAAAACGAGGAAATGTCAACAAATTTATTGAAAAAGCGCACTTTTGGAAGCATGTTAACCAATTACAATGAAAAATCACAAAAACTGTGGAGGAAAACAGTTATGAAAACCTAGTCATCGAATTCAAAACGAGGCAAAGCAGTCTTGGATCCGGACTTTTTGTGAAGACTGCGGTCACGCTCACGTTCCAATTCAATCCTGAAAAAGGTCTTAGTTCACTATTGCCGCGCTTTTAATAAATAAATATAATAATTGAGAAATATACCAGGAGGCCTTAAATATGAAGCTTTTTGAAGCTTTTAAACATCAGACAGGTAGGCATTGATGCAGTTCCCTTGTCCATAACGCTTTACAGGAGAGGGAGGGGGCGGGGGCAAGAAAAAGGATTCACTTCCCCCCACATTCAAAACGGATTTGAATACACGCTGCAAAACCATACCAAACGAGCTCAACTGAATATTATAAAGCACAGTCTAATCTATCAAAAAGGTTGCATAATAGCCTTCAACGCTTCGTCGAGGTATACGCCATTACCGCGTCCCTGAAACGCTGGTCAAAAGTGGTCTTACACAGTCACAGCTAGTTTCTAAGAAGCTATTCACCAGTTAATTAGTTGAAAAAAAAACTATGTCGCAGCTTCAGCCCGATTGCGGTGAGCCTCGTTGAGCTCGACGGTGACGCATGATGACGCCATATTCTGAAGACGGTGGGAGCAGTGAAGAAGGGCCTGCTCCTGCTTTTGGGGGAACCTAGGGAATATTCCGCAGTAAACCATTCATTAACAACGACATCTGTTCGACGAAAAATTTGACGATGCGCACCATGGGCAAAGTGGCTTTTTTGCCCCCCCCCCCTGTACAATTTCCGTTCATACCTCCACTTTCTTAGCCGTTACCTGTTCATGAGTGGAAGCCAACGGCCAAAAAAGGAACCTCATTTTGCGTTTTCTTGACAGATTTTTCGCGCAGGGCTCATGAGTAGCGAGTCATATCATTGATAGAGACGTAAAAGTTCCATTAGGTCATGAGCCGCCGATCGTCTCGGTTGAAAATATCGGTTTTTGCGCAAGGTGCTTTGAATGGGTAGAGGTCAGAATTGAATACATAGAGACTTGATGTTGATATCCCCCAAGACCACGTGCTCATAATATGAATTGGATATTGTTGTGGTATGGACAGCACCCTTTGTAAAAAAAAAGTAGTAATTCCTCGAAAGTGATGCTTTCGTTTGCTGATCACAAGTCGTTCAGGAGATGGCTCGTAGACCGAAAACATGAGTACTGATGAAGAACCCTCAAAACCTTGCACTGGCATGCTCTATTTCTCGGTAAACATTTTTCCTTTTAATATTCACACACTATCAAACGCTACAAGCTTTCAGCTTCTGGTGTAATCGCAAGCCTCACAAGGAATGGTCAATTGGTCAGTCCGGCCATTTGTGTAGTCCGATGGGTGCGGTCCTATGCATGCGTCTTGCAACGCTGAGCACAAATCCGTTTTCGGTATCTCGAGACGATCCTCTAAAGTTACGAGGGATTTTTCTCACTGTGGCGCCCTCCACATCCAGTTTTTCGTTACTCGTGTGCACACTTCAGGAAGCTTTGTTTTGATCACTTAGTCAAGGACTATCACAAGCAAGAACGTTACTCACTACACCGCCAAACTCACTCTCACCTGCTCTCCGGCTCTTCTTACGTGAGCCAAGTGCGTAGCAAGACGCGTACATCGAACAGCTCATCACAAGTGGCCGGACTGATCAATTGACCATTCGTTGTCAGTAACGCGGCACATTTACTGTAACCTTCCTCCGTTATCCTTACCTTTGGAGGTAAGGATAACGGAGGAAGGTTACAGTAAATGCCATCAATCCCAATTTCGACTTAGAACTATTAGATATCCATTTTCAGTAGTGGGAATGACAGCGAGTCAAAAAGGTGGAAAGAGGTGACAGTATATGTCCACCTCCTTGAAACTTGCGATTTCACCTGAAGCTGATAAAAGAATTTTCGACTCCTAGAATTAATGATAGGTGAAAATATTTGTAGAGCTTGAGTGTGTGATGAAAAGGGATGGCTCAAAATGAAAAAGGTGGTTTGCAGGATAAGAGAATGAAGAGCAAGGATGAGAAGTGTCACCCGCGCGTTTCGATACAGTGAAAGAAGACCGTTTATGTAGCCGTCTAATTCGATTGTAGTGAAAAGATCACAAATGGTTAACCCATACGTTATCGACCAAGGTCCTTGGCAAGTGAAAAGGTGACCGAGAAGGAAGATCGGATCACATAGTGAAACCAGCTCAGTCTCCCTACAAGTTTAATTTGTTAACGACCATGTGGTGCGTACGGTATCGTGCGTAACAAAATTGTGGTTGAATAAATAAATGAATAAACATCAGTTAAAGACATGTAATAGTTCTCTATGGGATAAGAAGATTGCTAATGCACAACCGAAGTCCCTCTGCTTCCTCCGAACGCTTAGTCTTACAACTATAATAGTTTGACTTCAATCTCGCCGAAAGAGAGTTGAGTTACAGAGCACTCCGCCGCCGCATGCTCCCTACAACTACGTTGGCATATTGTAAAACTATTACTATAGAAGCAACTGCGACTGCCAACAATTAGTGATAAAAGGTAGGTTATGCATGGGTGTAGTTATGCGCAAGTGATATTAAGTGAAGTTACCGTCGCTTTCGTGCTTCCTCAGGTGTCAACATGTGTCCCTCGCCAGTTTCCTCATCAACGGTCCATAACATCATATCACTCAACGACACGCCAATCAGCTTCCACCCCACAAAAAACATCACAAAAGCGAAGAGCAGCCGCCGATTTGAGTACTGAAATTGTTCAATTATCCGAACAACATCCAAACCGTCCGAAAAGCCACGACTGACAAACCTGCTGATATGTGAGCTTTGTTCGAGGAGACAGACCCCGAATCTTTTGCCTCCATATGCGCCTCCATTCCCAATAAAGCATAGCAAAAATTATAATTTTGACAGGATAAGAAAACAACAAAGTTGACCAAAATCAATGTAAACAATGGACAGGATGAACTAGCAACTTAATAACAATGTAACGACAATGCCTACAAATTTAGAATTCGGTAATCTATCAGTAAACGATTTTCGCTTGTTGAGTTGGCAATATTCCAAAACGTCTTTTAATAATCACACGATACTTGCTGTACTTATCCTCAGGAGAGAAACGAGCCGGATGGGCAGATACGTCTCCGTCCCGTCAGGAGCAGTCTTCTGAAACATGTCTTTGTTCTCAAATTTTTTGTTGTTTCCACACTTTTGGTGTAATTATTGCCATAATTTTTTTAGTAATCCGTTTTTCATTGTCAACTTCTAATTACGTACAAAGTAGGTTGACCACAAATTAGTGTCAGTTTTCGACATTAATTTTTTATATATAAAATATATAAATTATATTTAAACAAAGCTGAGTGCGGCAGAGCTTCGCATCCCTAGTTGCTTGTGTTTTGGAAGGTCAGCTATGCGACGTGTGCCTGCGAATTGCAGTGGGGAAGGGTCAGAACCATACTTTCGAGTGAAGTCGGGCGATGTACATATATGGTCCGTCTTCTGAAGCTGCTCTTCTGCCGTAAGTATTCCACTGAGTTTCAAGGAGTTGTCGTGAATCAGGCCTGAAGCAGTCACCACACATTCAGCATGACCTTCAATTGGCATAATTTTGATTTATGAAAAAGGAGTTCCCTCATGCGGCCCATCCACTGAGCCGATCCTATTCAAATGTGGCAAAGCAGCTATTCTAGTCGCACATTACAAAACACTGGAGGAAAGGATCATTCATTGCGCGAAAGAAGCGTCGACGCAGATCACACCAAAGATTCTACAACTTGGAGTAAATGAATTGACCCACCTACATTGACCCACGAACTCTTTTTACAGCAATACGTGCAGAATCCAAGTGACCTTTCGCATCTTGATGATCGCTTCGCCTCGGCGAAGCTTTTGGAACCAATGGTAAACACTTTTTTTCAATAACACGTACTTGACTACACCACCACAACTAGGTGAGCTATTTTTGCTACATTCCGAATTTATACAGCGGAATTAGTATGAGTAATTTGCAGAATGAAGGGATTTGTAGAAGGAATTGGCTAATTTCTGGTTTGACGCCTCCACTTCAAAACTCAAAATTTTGTCAAACATCCAAGCATTGCTAGCATTCAGATATGCATGATTAAGCCGTGTAACGAAAGTTCTAAATAAGTGCAACAACACAATCCCAGCCAATAATTTGTTGCCAAAATTTGCAAGAAGAAGCAGGGTCGCAAGACTGACACTAATTTCTGAACAATCTTATGAAGGCCTTTGAATAATATTGGATTTTAATAGGTCATTCATCACCATCTTCACCTGTTCCTTTCCTCAACCCTTTCACAGGGAAATCTGAAAGGGTCACAATATTCCGGAGCCAGAGCCAATACCAATTTTTGCACTTTTGCCATTCTTTTTACAACTTACTCCTTCCACTTTATAAGTGCTCAGTAGACAACGAAGTGAACTCAAGTAGTAGAAATAAATTGATCGATCTAACTTGCTCTTATTGGGCGATCCCTAATTCTTGACGAAATCTTTGAATAAATTTCACACCATAGCTATCAGGGAAAAGAATGGCCACAAAACGCATTAGAAATTCAAAGCTTGATCGCCACCAGCCCACAGTAATTTTCAAATCCACACCACCTACGTATATGAAGGTACTAATGGAAAGGTGTAGCAAGAATGTCGTGACTTCACTTCATAAGAATCGAAATAGCCTTTCATCAAATTCTTTGCGGGAAATCACTACACAAATGAATTTGTCGATTGAGTAAGCAGAATAACAGTAGCAAAAACAATCAAATAGTTGAAATTTCATTCGAATTCTCACTCTCACTCGCGCGCTAGCTCGGCTGCAATTAAAACTACCCCTATTACGCTTCTTTATGAATGTGGATTTTAAAACATTGAAGAACGACAAGAAAGATTTTCTCAACACTACAAGCCGCCTACTTCAGCCTTCCTGCGGACCATTCCAGCACGTGGTAAATGAATTCTTAAAGCAAAAGGAAGTGCTGGCAAAACAAATGATTATTATTGCCAAGCAAGCCCATCGCACTACAATATTTTAATTTTTGTATGAACTCCGAAAACCCTAACAATGAGGCTGATGACAGTTAACGCGACGCGAATCACGCCACAGATCGCGGACTCTTACACTAGCCTAACGTTCAACCCATTTTGTACTGCAAATTCTGTAGCAGTTTATAATCAGGGGTAGCTTGTTTCCTGAGAAAACCATTGTGAGGGTAGGTCATAAAAGGGTAAGGCTGGTGAGTCCGCTACACGTCACGCGAATCGAAAATAGTGAATGCCCCATTTGAGCAAACTGAATATGAAACAAGGAGAATCATCGTCATTCAACTACCATCATCAAGCAGAAATGGCGGCGGGATTGAAGAGCACCTCACAGTATTGATCGGGGCAGTTGCGATTTCCGTGATCCGTCGCGCGACGGATCGCGGACTTGAAACCAACCTAAGATAAACGGCGAGACGTTAAATGGCTATCAAATCAGAGCCCTATCAACTACATTTCAGGGAATTATGCTACATTTCAGACACAGACCTAAATCGAGAACCAAAAAGCTACAGAAAGGTATATTCGAGAGATTGAAATTCCACGAAAATCAAATTCAAGGCTAACAGAAGTTCGAAGCTTTTCGTGTAACTTTTGCGGATTCGAATAAATCTTTACATTGGTTTCATTTGATACTTTTTCATATGGATCATTCACTCAAATACTTCATAGGCAGCCAGTTTTTTGATATAATCCACTTTTTCATTTTTTTTTGCTTAACTGAGTGATATGAAATGAAAAATAATAGCATCTACCAATTAGAAATTCTTCAACAACCAACAGGTAAACGCTCTAACCTTGAGGGTGTACACACGTCTGCCGCTCTCGTCCAAGTGATATCTCAGAAACATTCCAATATGGGTGACGTGTCTCAAAAAGAAGAATTTGACCGGCTAATAAAAACAGGTAAAAAGAAACCACAAGAAAATAGTCTCGGGTTAATATACCGTGCAGTGAGTACCGCACTACATACTGAACAGGAATAAAACATATTTATCTCCACTACATGTACAACACCTGAATCAAAGTAACAAAGATCTCTAAAAATGATACAACGTGAGTTGTCTTTCATTGTAGGTAAACGAGTTTAGTGAGCCAGACTTTGTAGCATATATAACAAATAAGTTTAGCAGCATCAGCTAACAACTAAAATAAAATTTCAAGTAGTACTTAACAGCAATAAAAGCTAAAACGTCTTCTCACCACACAACCACCTAAGGTGATATGGGGAAGATTAAACCTCGACAAAATATCACAATTTCAAGAGTACACCATTAGGACAACCTTTGAAAAAAGAGTACACAACAAGAACACAAGAGAATGTGCGCCAATTTAGTACTATTACGGAATGAACAAAATGAACAGATGAAGTAGATGACGTGGGAGATACCAATTAAACGGAATAAAACAGAAGCAAACGAAATTAAAGTGGACCCATTCCGACGGTACTAAACACGTAATCCCAAAGCGATGTTGAAATTCCAAATCCTGAAATAGATATCGTTAAAAAAGACAGTTTATTAAGAAAGGAAAATGAAGTAAAGTATAAAGTAAGTAAAATTTGAAGCTTTGTATCCATTCTTTTATTGCAGTTTTGTTTTGGATGAAGAAAGGCATTGACGAGCGAATATACTATCAGGAACAGTAAAAGAATGGAAACAAAGCTGCAAGATCGAAGGTGCGACCGTTGCAAAATGAGTGCTGCGACGAATCTCCCCAACCTTTCCCCATTCCCGTCCCATCCCCAACATTCAGCATACGGCCCTAGGTAGACGCCAAAAATTGGTCTAGCACTGGCGATGTGCGATTACGTACGATGACTGGCCACCGTAACCCAACGCCTGCTTTTATTTATTAGTGCAAACAGCGTAAGGCCCTGTTCAGAGATGTTCACTTAGGCCCCGTTCATACACCGCGGTTAATGCGATTTGGCTCTAATGCTGAAAGTAAAGCATAGGTATCGATCTGGAAAAAAAGCGGCAATGCGATTATGCGGTTTGACGATTTTGGATAATGCTGAACGTTGTGGGTGCGTATCGTCTAAAAAGGCTCCGCCCAATAAGCGCTCATCGATGCCACGAGTAGACGGCAAAGCGATTATGCGATGAAGCGATATAGCGATTTAGCTGTAATGCTGTAAAGGGACAGATGCGAATCGATTGAGGTAGCTCCGTTCAACGAGCGCAGATGCGATCATGCGATTATGCGATTGACGATTTGGCGAGTACATCTTTTGGCGATTTTCCAGTGAAGATTGGATACATATTGAATGATCTTTAATGAATAATTGACAAAATAAACCCGCCATAATTGGTCGCCTTCTCATGCGTTGCGGCGCGTACGCACTCTCGGTCGCATTATCGCTAACTTGCCTTCAGCGCTATATCGTTTTTTCGTCAATACCGCGGTGTATGAACGGGGCCTTAGGCTGGTGTCAGAGTCCGCGATCCGTCGCAGTTTTCGCTGATTTTCGCGATTTGCACGATTTGCGCGACTCAGGCGATTTTTCGCGATTTGTGCGATTCACGCGACGGGTCACTGAAATCAAAAGTTCCCGATCAATTCTGCAAGGTGTTCTCCAATCCTGCCGCCACTTCTGCTTGATAAAGATGGCTCAACGACGACTGCTCATGATTCCGCTTGCTTCATATTCAGTGCTTCAAATGTTCACACACTTGTAATTTTTACGATCCATCGCAGGTTTCGCGCAAATAGCGAAAATCGCGTAGATCGCGCATATCGTGAAAATCAGCGAAACCTGCGACGGATCGCGGACTCTGACACCTAAATCTCGGCGGAAATTTCCATTGCATTTCGCCTGTGCAAGCAGAGGCGAAATGCAATGGAAATTTCCGCCGAGATTTAGATAAGCATCGATTGAGGGATTGGAGAACGCGCGAAACGATGGGAGCGTGAATTTCAGTCAAGAGTTCGATATGTATCGATTGTGAGAAACGGACGGCGGAAAATCGCGTAAGCGAAGCGTCGGAAAGCAAAGCGTATGTTACTCATTTTCGACGATCCTCCCACTTCACGATTCTGTCCTCGCTCAGTCGATACCTATTTCATTTTATTTCGCCTCTGCGTTTTTTTTTGCCTAAGTGGGCATCTCTGAACAGGGCCTAACAGTGCTAGATACAGCGCACAGCGTTAGATACATATTGATTGTCCAACCCTCCGAACCATCTGACGATCGAGACGCATCCATGTCCTAAGGTTTAGTCTCCATTATAACAAGGATATGTTTTAATCGGTTTCAAGATCATAGACACATTAATGTTCCCCTATCTTGCGATAGTACCCTGAATTGTAACGTTTTATCATGGATGACATGAGCCGCGCTTCGTTTCTGGAGAGTGATCCCGTTTTCTTGGATTTATGCATTACTTTGTCCTGATTACATGATGGACATTGGAGTCTTGTTCATCAAAACCTTACAGATGTTGCTTTCGTTTCCTTAAAGACTGAGAGAAGAAGCTACTAGAAGGAAACTATATTATAAGGAGACTAAAAGATAGACGGTGCAAATTTGATGCGCCATACTCGCGCAAAGATCAAAAGCAATTGCTTAAATAGCACTAATCATCGAACGGTTCATAGAATCTCCACATATTACGTGGTCACCGCGTCACGCATGTGATTAATTGTTAGAGGAGGAATTCATGATAAGAACGAAGGTCAAAGAAGGGGAAATTGCAGAGTTGGGAGACAGGCGAACCTCCTGAGGGCGCTGACCAACGCGCAATTGACAGCGAAAGATTTGAGCTCAACGATCTAGCATGGCTCACTCTTGGCGCGATTGGCGGATACGCCCACCTTTCCAAACACTCGCCGCAGGTCTATACGTAGCGAGCTGATTAGACAGCAGAGAAGCGTAGGTGCAGCGTTAGATACGTGTCCATCGCCCAGTACTTTTACACTTCTGGCGATCGATACTCAAACAACAATGTGTGATCATTACGATCGAGCGAGCGGCTATGAATTCGCCCTAACCGACCTGCCCAATCGTCACTCATGCAGGTCAGCAACCAGAAGTCAATGAATAAGGAGGGACCAGCGTATCAGTCATGCTCTAGTGCGCAGCGCTCTAAACGTTATACAAACGGACGCTTCCTAGTGCACTGTTGCTGGTTTAAACCGGGGTGAATAACGGTCGAGATATTCGTCCCCTATGGCTCTGTACTGTGCGACAGTAAAGCCGGAGAGCACGGACGGTTTGCGCATGGCGAGTGTGAGTCCGCGCGGGAGAACCCCACTGGTCAGGCAAAAATCCTCGATGTGCCAGTGAGGAATTTTTGACCAAAAGTCGCCTGCTTCAAACCGACGTCACGTCTCCACCTACGAGCAGAATTTTGCGTTGGGTGATGGTAGCCGCTCGTCGTACGAAACCACACATCGCCGGTGCTGCAATGACACGCGCATGCGTTGCTGTTGGCGGTGTATTATTTTGGTCAAGATACACCTGACGAAAATTGCATCAGGCTGTGTTCACAGCCAGCGTTTTAGTACAATAATAGGATCACCGAAAAAGACCATACACGTATCGTTGGGAGACATTCAGTCGTCCTCCTAGGATCAAGTCCCCAGAGTTCCGCGATCATTGAAGCCTAAGGAGCTTGAAATAGGCTTAGGCTTACATAGAGGCTTATTCGTGAGCCTATAATTGGGCCCAGGCTTAGTTCTAAGCTTGCTTCGAGCAAATGAGTGGTCTCCTAATTCCAGGTGACCTGACCTGAGGAAGAGAACTGCAAGGCACCCGAGAGCTCTCTTTCAGAGAAGCACAAATACACGTGTGATAGCAACGGCAGCTCTAGTTTCGCGATTATAAGTCCACAACAACTTGCCAAAAAACCGTTTACAGATTAGCAATCAACGAAGAAAACTCGGCGCATAGGTCATCTGCAGTGCCTTTTCTCGATAAGTAAACAAGAATTCCAAATAACCTTTACCTGCATCGAAATCCTTGAAGTGGTGGTTATGATGGTAGACCTTTCTGTAATGCATGTTCGTTAAAGGGCGAGGGCACCCATGATGAAGATAATAATGAATCATGTCGTAGCCTATGTAACCGAACAGCTTTCCACTGCCAAACGCACAGAAAATATGCCTGAACATTATAGAGGAATGAAAAACAGAAACCATATCTTCAACAAAAAGTTACCATGGAAGGATGTTTGAGTAGATTGTATAGAAAATTGCAACTATGAAGAAGGCAGGCACTGGAGGAAATACCAAACGATCACCATCCATCGGAGTTTTATGATGTAGCCCTTAATCGCGAAATATAATATTTGTAATATAAGACAAAACGTCTAGAAATTGGTAACAAAACAAAAATGGAGTTACCATGAAGAAGGAAATGGAGAATAATTTGCGAAGAAGACTGTGGGTTGGGTTTCCAATGAAAAACCCATCTATGGAGAGCATATTCGACGAGCGTCCAAACAATCACTCCTGCCACAAAACAATTGGCCCATATCAGCGCACCCTTGTACAGGCCTGAAATCCATGTATGGGAAACTCTTAAATTAGCTGTAAATTATTGTTATTTTTCTATATTTTTATTTATATTAAAGGATAAAGGATAAAGCATTTGCCGTTGATCAATCCCGTTTTGGGATGCGGCACGCATTCTACTTCCACTTGTACATTCGCAGTGGCATTTGAATGCGATGTGGCCTATACAATGACTTGCGGAGGCCAGCCGATGTCCAAGCCAGTGTTTTTCCTCCCAGACAAGTCTGGTACCAATTGACCGACTCCGGAGGGATGGAAGGCTTGGGTCCCGGGCGACTCACGACCCAGGAATTGATCCCGGACCGCTCGCGTGGTGAGCGACGCCACTTGCACTGCCACCACTTCCGCCCTTTTAATTTTAATATTATATTATTTTATTTGATACAATACCAAGGCCCTACTAACAATAGGAGAGTTAAAATCGCGCTGATATGGAATTCTCCTTTTAGCTATGCAGTTAATCGGGTCACTGTATAAATAGTTTACCCGCAATGTTAAAAAACACTTCATCGAAAAAAAACCCAAAAATTTTCACTGTATTTGTGGGGAAGATTGGTTGCAAAATTAATAAACGTACAAGCTGAACTCGGACTGTATAGTTATAGCGCAACAAAAAAAATGATAAGATTGCAAGCTTAGAAGTTAAGGACAGTCAAAAACCAAACAAATCAATACAAATCTATACGAAAAACTGAAGAAGTAAAGAGAAAAAGAGGTGTCAAAATAATGCAGTGACAGAATAGTTTTGAAAAAATAAATCGATGAGACAAGTATGAAAGCAGATTCTTAAATTCAGACGTAAGAGTGAAGGATGAAGGGTGAGAAATGTACGCATACCATCCAAGGTGTCCCACTTTTGCTTGCTCTTCTCTTATTTTTACTATCCTTTTCTTTTGTTTCCTCATGCTAGCCTGAACAAAGCACGAAAGAACAAATGAGGCATGCTTAAAGTTTACTCTGAGCGTTGCCCTTCAAAAACACAGCGATGATGGAGGAGTGGATTGAACCGGTCATTCTAAGATATTATATGACAAGCAGAAATTACAATAGCAAAGAAAAACATTCCGATTGATGAGGGAAACACTTTTTTTAAGATAATGGAAAAATTGCTTGAAATCCTTGAGACTTACCCCAACGGCCATACATATCAGCCATGGCGAACAGGCTGAATATTGCAACAATGGGCAGCCATACAGCAGGAACGACCCACCATGCGGTTCGCGTCAACGACTCCAAGAAATCCGAATCGAACAATCTGTAACGTAGGAGCTAGAGTTCGCGCTTCATATTCATCACAGGAATTGATCTATCTCGACTAAATCTTTGAAACTATCTCCTATGCGAATACATATAATGGATATAGACTGTATGCACATATTGTAAGATCTTAAATTTTTAGTAACTGCAGAAAACGGATCAGTGATGCAGTGCTCTTTCGAGCATGCCGCCGAAGTTTTCAATTTTTGTGTATCAAGATATTAATTTTTTGATCAAAAACAGGTCAACTTGAATTTCTACTCGACGATGCAAACCCGCCCATAGACAAATCACAATGAAACAGGAATGCACCTCAAAGTTCCTTCATAAGGTTGATGAATCCACATCCAGTAATTGGCACCTAGACTTCCCACCTTCGACAGAACGCCTTGCTTCGAGTGTAGGGTCGGATCATCCTGCAATCCATACCGGTCAACTGGAGCTCCACAAATGCTGTTAAATTCAAGTTCAACAATACCTATACAGTAACCACCTTTTGGAAATTCTCCACGTCATACTTCTCCATCATTTGATAGGCAGCCTCGGAATGCTCGTGCTTCACTCCGAGAAAGCGTCGTTCACCGCGCATGAATTCTTCCACATTCTCCCCAGCCAGTTTTCGCAACACCTAAATATATAACATAATCGGGAAGTCCAGTATAACAAAAATTGGCTGCTGTGTACATATACATACATCCACCACGAGCTTGCAAAGAAATGTTTATTTTGGCCAATGCTCCAACGATCGGTCCCTTTCAATGACCGAACATGTCTCAACGCACAAGGAAGGCCTGCCTGGTCGGAAGAAATTGAACCTATTGTATTGTATCAAGCATTTCTATATGAGCCCCGCTCACACATTCTGCCAATCAATTTTTCCGAGCTCTTAATTTGCAAAAATCTCTTCCATTGACTAGAACAAGAACTAGCTGGTTATCTGCTACCTACTAGCTGTGGCTCACTGCTTGCCGTAATCTTTCTTCTAATTCTGATTGTCTAATACAAGACAGAATTCGAACAAAAATGTTTTCAATACGTTCGGTTAGAAGGACGAGGTTCAAAAAATACCCTTTTTGAAAAGCACAAGAACTGCTCAAAATATTATTAAACAAAAGCAGCATTTGAATATGGAGGACAAGTGATGAGAACAGAAGAAATGGAAGTCCTTTTGTTTGTCGATTCTTTGAAACTGAAGGGGCTTGATAGGGTGGGACTGGCCCTTCTGCAGAAAATCCAAAGTCAGAACAGATGATTGAAAAAAAACATCACGGAACATTGCGGGTAGAGTCAGACTCCGCGCTTGCTGCTTAGTTGTTCAATCGCGGCAGTAAACGCGGAGTCTGATGCAACACGGGCAACTTAGACGGTGGCAGGCTTGGAGCTTCATGTGAAACCGGCAGCAACCCCAAATTCAAAGAATGCCTTTCACGCAACTGCGTGAAGCAGAAAAAAAGTATCACATTGACTCAATTTGCATAGCCTAAACCCGTAACTTTCCCACATATTTGGCAATCCCAGCACACAAATTTACTGAACACCACACTCATCCGTAACAAGTTTTCATCTTACTCAAATTCTATTTGCAAAACTTCTTGCGCAAATAGGGATTTGGTCCCACTAGGACAGAAAGCGACTTCTTCGCGTTGCGCGTGCGAAACATTTTTCGCTGCAGGAACTTTAGGCCCACTCATGGCCAGCGGTGAACCTGAGGTTGTGCAGCGAAAAACGTTCCGCGCTGTGAAACGCGAAGTCACTTTCTGTCCTAGTGAACCACACCCCCAAATAGGTTCTGCATGAGAACTTTTTGAGGAAAGTCGCCGACGAGATCCAAAGCCTTGAGAGTACGCATTCCAGTCAGACGAACTTAAGACGCAACCAATCAAGAAACACTCGTTGTCTCGAAATACTGTGCTCAATCCCTTTTTACTAAGAAACTGTGGGGACGACTACCATTATTTTCAGTCTGCTAGAGGCTAATCGAATTCCAAAAGAAAAATATTTCATGGCAGAATTTTTTCAAATTCAAATCCGAGCCCTCCAATCAAAGCAACTAAAAGAAAGGAAAAATCAGGAACTAAAAGGTAAATGCGTACCTTTTCACCACCAGGATGTTTAGGAGCAAATTGAGCGACGTCGTAGACACGTCCTTTCAGCAGCACCAGAGCTAGCAGGCCTTTCGGCCTCGTTTTGGTTGGAATCCTTCTCCAACCCCATCGTGGAACGGCCACCTAACAAAACATGCCATTTATGAACATCTGTGGCATACCGCAGAGAACGGGTATTAAAAGTGCAGCAGCGACTATTTCGTGGAAAGCTTCAATAGTAGGCATAACGATAAACTTTCGGGAAATGTCCAGTCGATGAGACACCGAAGGATCAATTGTACTAAAAACCTGATGCAGTATTTAGTTTGAGTTACTAAAGATGCTGCGGCGGACCTTAATGGTAATTTAAATAAAACACGCAGAACGGGCTTTGACCGTACTTCGGCTCTGATCATGGCAATGAACAAATTGACATCTCCTTTTGAGAAAAACTAGAAAAATAGAAACAAAAATTTAAATTAAAAGGTTATAAATGATCAAAAATTCATGAAACTAAGCAAAAACTCAGGAAAACCTTTCGTCAGAGAGTTTAAAGAATTCAGTGCAACATGAACAGACCAAAGGAGAAGAAGATAAGCAGCGATTTTTAGAAAATATTTACTCAAAAACCGCTGTGCAATTTCCAAAAATTTGAAAACTTGCCAGAAAACGCACTGCACAACGCCTTGAGTTAGCCGCGGTCCAACATTTATCTTTTGGTGCGCTCTTTCCCTAACACTAACACTGAGACTTTTTTGACTTTCCGACATTTGTTGGAGGGTTCATCGAGGGCTTTGGCGTTTCGAATTTGCGACGTACTAAACTGGTTTATAATATTTCGAGATATCCCGTTCATTAGAGTGATGAAATCATTAACTACGGTAAGATGGGGAAAAACCATCAAAACAAAGTACCCTATACTATGGTCGGAAGGAAGAAAGCTCTAGGATAGCACCACATTCGCAAACTGAGGACAAAGCTACTCAAAACGCCTTCATTTTCGTGAGCTGCAAAGCCTAATGAATTGCATAGAAGCAGTCAAGCAGAAAAAGCTCGGAGCAAAAGGGGAGCACTTCAGCTTCACGTGAAAAGCGGCTGCTCGTGGATGTAAGCAACATAATAAAGTACATTTCAAACATAAAAAGTGTGCCTTTTTTTTAGCAAAATGCCCATGCAAATGGCTCGCCGCCACGCTACCGCTCGCATCGGTTGGCGTCTAACACTGAGATTCTCAATCCGAAAAAAAAGTTCGCATAATTTACTCAAGAGATGTTATCTTTATAAATGTTCCTTCAAGTATAGCAATGCGAAAGGTTCAGGAAGAAAGGTGGACGAAACATGAGTGTGAAGAAGTGCACTTCGCGAAGCTGAAATATGAGACGCTAAGCAAACACGCAGACGAATGGACTTTGATATTTACTTATTTATTTACTTGCATGACCCAATCTGTTGGACGATCTGTTGGTTGCAAAGAAATGATAACTGAGCTGCTCAGAATACCGAAAAAAAAACATGATAGAAAGGAATTGTTTCTAGCCGTCTGTACTCTAGTTGCCACCGAAAATCATGAGGATCTAAGGACTAACGACTGACCATTTTACAAAATTTTAACGAAGCTCTACTCTGCAGATTCATGTTCAGGTGAAAAGTCAGCTTAGGTGTGATTGACACGAACGACCGAATACGGCCCTATGGCGGACCGAAGCGCATGCGTGAGGCACACGGTGTACCACGCACTCACGCGGAGCAGATTCGCTCCACTTCATTGATTCTACATGATTTCCATGTAACAGAGTATAAGTGTTTTAGTGGCAAGCGGCGTCACCTACCACGCGCGTGGTGAGAAGATTAAGACAAGCCGGATTTAACAGTCCGGTGAGTGACCGTTACCGTGATCCACGTTGGCACTGGAGCGCGCAGCTACACTACTGATGTGTACCCACACGTTTCAGCACCAACGTGAGAGGGTATAGCGCCTCACTGGTGAGTGTACAATACCCCCGCCAACCAGTCACGTTTTACGGTTGCGGCCACTCACCGGACTTTGTAATCCCACTAATGAAGATTAAGTCCCAAATGATATTCTGGTATCAGAGTCCGCGTTCCGTCGCCGGTTTCGCTGATTTTCGCGAGTTGCGCGATTCACGCGATTTTCGCGATTTTCGCGATTTGCGCGAATTACGCGATTCACGCGACGGGTCACGGAAATCACAAGTGCCCGATCAATACTGCAAAGTGTTCACCGATCCTGCCGCCACTTTTGCTTGATAGTGATGGCTGAATGACGACTGCTCATCCTTCCACTTGTTTCATATTCAGTGTTTCAAATGTCCACACACTTGCGATTTTTGCGATCCGTCGCGTGAATCGCGCAAATCGCGCAAATCAGCGACACCTGCGACGGATCGCGGACTCTGACACCAGCCTACGGGGTGTGGTTCACTAGGATAGAAAGCGACTTCTTCGCGTTTTGAAGCGTCAAACATTTTCCGCTGCAGGAACCTTAGGTCCACCACTGATCATGAGTGGACCTGGAGCTCCTACATGAAAAATGTTCCGCACTCAAAACGCGAAAAACTCGGTTTCTGTCCCAGTGAACCCACACCAAGCGATAAGCCGTCCCGCATTTAAAACGCTACGCGGTTCGCACCCAAAGCCAAATGCATGGCGCATCCCAAAAACGATAGCTCAACATCGAATATTTCATCCTCAATCTGTACGCTTTCTCACGGATGCGCCCGGAGAAGAAGTGATGGGAGGCGCCGCTTTGAACACACAGCTATAGGATCGAATCTGGTCGAGGCCTGACCTAGATGGTGAAAAGCGTTGAACAAGGCTCATCCTCGAAAGTTATCACGAGTACCAAATAAGCACTTAAAAATCAAGGCTGAGCTGAGCTACGTCAATCAAAGACACTACAGAGTTATCAGAGCTGCCAATAATTGACAGACGAGAAATTCTACACAAACGCCAACATCACTTAGCCGAGAAAGAACCAGTAGAATCCAGAAAGCGCTGAATGATTCCAGAAGTTGCTGTCACTCTAGAACAAAGGATGGATCGCTGGAACTGATGAACTGGTATGTCAGTTGCAGGTCCTCGTGGAACCGCAAGGCCCTTGTTCAAGAGTTCCTGGCCACAGTAGCTAGATGACAACGTGTCGAGCTAAACTGAAAGATAAACTGAAGAGAATTGGAGCAATGGGAACCGCGAAAAAGTCCATTACGCTATATTGTATCCCGTAAGAAATTGAAATTTAATCAGTTTAATGGAGTACAGGGCCGAAAAGCCCGTCATCTCCCTGAGTGATTCGCCTAAAACAGAAGTAATCAAAGCAGTGCCATCGGATTCAGAAGGGGCATAAAGACCGAGACGGCTGCAAAAAATTGAGCAGAAACCCCATGAAAGGCGGCTACTACTAAAATATGACATCACTTTAACTCCTATAAACCACCTATCATAACAATGAGCTAAATCTAGGCATGCATCTAATTCTACTCGAGCGCTACGCTCTGCGACCATGAACTAATTTCTCGGCGATCACTTAGGTTCTGAATCGATACTCTTCAACTAATAACTTAGCTTGTGTGTGTCGAAATACCCGCATAAAAATTAGTAAGGAATTTGAAGAAAGGCGGCTCGTTGCCCAATCAATCCACTGAGAAAACAAAAGTGAATGTTGAAAGACGAGCAATGAGTCATAAATTTTTCATAATAAAAGCCTTATCAGACCGAACGATTGCAGTCCCCTTTTGTGTAGATAAGAGGCACAGCATACCAGTCATCAACAGGATGTTATCGTATGCCGTTCACAGTTACGTTGGCGCGAGTTCTATGATTTTAAGTGCCGGTATCTTCAAACCCGTGCCATCTTTCCCTAAAAAAGGTTTTTGTTTGAGCGTGAAATACGAAATCATGGCATCAACTTAAAAGCATGCCCCAAAATCACATCGGCTCTTGTACGCGAATTTGAATGTATTGGTGTGAAGTGGGCCTGACTGTAAAGAAAAAAGGAAAGGATTCCATTGAAAAACGTTCAGGTTAAGAGCTCATGCACCTTCGCAATAGGCTGTGCTAAGCAATGAGAGACTAAGCGCGGAGAGGAGAGTATGAGACGAGAGAACGCCACGCATGAAAGAGCGCCAGACAACGACGTAAGCAAACCAGCCCTTTTGGCACATCGGCTGGGACCGTATGCTGAATGTTGGGGAGGGGATGGTGTCCCCGACGGTGGACGGACAACTTCAACGCGGTCCTTAGAACCGCCACAGTTTGGCGCTTACCTTATAACTAAGCCTTAAAGAGAGGACGGGTCCGTCCCTCTCCTAGGCTTAGTCCAAGGGTGAGCAGACCGGCCCTTCTGGCGAAGCTACTGGACCAGCTGCACCACTTGCGTCAGTACTCTCCTATCGTACCAACGGAGTTGAAGTAAACCGTCGACCGTTGGGGACCCCATCCCCTTCCCAACATTCACCATACGGTCCCAGCCGATGTGCCAAAAGGGCTGGTTTGCTTACGTCCCAGACAACAGCCTGATGAGAGAAAAAATCTGCAGCTTGAAAGCTTACTTTGCAAGGCCCAAGCGCTCTTTTCGGTTGGTTCCCGTGCAGTAGAACGCTACATTTGTGATTGTCCTCTAGTAATCTACACTACAGACCGAGGGGAAGCGTTCACACGACCTCTGCTTGGGTTGTGCCTTCAAGCTAACTTATGGATCAGTTAAATTTTTAGTGTTTCCTACATATGTCGCGGCACATGTCTGCTGCGGTACTGCTTTTAAAGAAAGGGTGCTCGTATTACAAGAGACCCAACATATCCCGAATCACTAGAGTTTATAAGGAGTTGCTGGAGTGGTTGTAAATCTTTTGGGCTCAATTTTCTTCACAACCCCTAAATCTCAAAAATTTATTCTTCGTCAAAACTCAGAAGATATTTATTTTCGACGTTAGCGACAGTTGGCGCCAGATAGCGCCACATTACCACGAAGGCAGCTTTCATTCAACTCGGTGTAAACTTGTATTTAGGGGTTATTTAGTGTCATGATTACAAATATTACATCTATTTTGGGCGCTAGCGCCATTTGGCGCCTATTTTCTGCATGTCCGCGTCCTCGCACTGACTCGGTCATGATCAGAACTAAGCCTTTAGGGAGAGAAGGGCAAGGGAGGGGGGAGTTGAGTAAGCCACTTATCCCGTGAACTCGTGTACTTCATCTTTTGCCATACGATGCGTGATTCCAGCGCCAGTTCGAAAAACGAATGTCATATTCGTAATCGGGACACCATCCAAGCCCTGTATACGGGTTTACACCGAATTTGCTGAAAACAGCCATCGTAACAAAGTAGTGTTAACTGATGCAAATGGCGCCAGTGCCAAAAATGAATATTCTTCGTAATCAGGGCATCGAATTATCCCT